AAAATATATACTCAAATAAAGTGCTATTTAAGTATATATATTTTGATTATTTTGGTATATATTTTATTTTAATTTTTTGTGGTGGGGGTGCTAGCTTAACAAAGGTAGATTTATTGCATTTGTATTTATACAAGTGATTGATGATTGTCTAACTGCAACCTGATTAACAAATGATTTTCACTGCACGTTGTTGACAGCTAACGAAGAAAATACTAATCACAAGTCAAACGGTTTCACCCTAAAGCCAGTGTGCTGTAAAGACGGCAAAAAGTGCATAAGGTTTGTATAAAACTCCGCCTTACACGTAAATATCTATTAACACTCGCGTCTTGGAAAATAATGTGATTGTTACTTGGCTATTGTAAAATGTCAGCTTCTTTTATTATGCTTTACTCGTTACTGGATGATTCTTTCCTAAATATGATAATATCCATTATTATCTCCGTTCTCACAATAATTACAAAATTAAATTACGGTACGACGCAGAGGACCTTTCATCACCGCTCTCGGCCAGATCTGGTGCCCTGATCATTTCGTATGCGTCAACGGTCAATGCCGCCGTCCTCTTCAAGACATTGGCTTCGTCGAGGAGAAAGGACAACTCTACTGCGAATACTGTTTCGAAAAATTCATCGCGCCTTCGTGCAACAAGTGCAATAATAAGATCAAGGGCGTAAGTATATCGATGATACACCGTCAATGGCAATTATAATAATTATCATTGATTACTCATTTAATATTCAGGATTGTCTGAACGCAATTGGAAAACACTTCCACCCTGAATGCTTCAACTGCGCCTATTGCGGAAAACTCTTTGGTAATAGTCCGTTCTTCCTAGAAGAAGGATTGCCCTACTGCGAAGCTGGTTAGTATTTTAACGATTCAAAATACAAAGTGCACATGATAACTATAATAAATGAAGCAGAAATATTTCCTAATATATGCTTTATCACACAATTAATTATTTGATATTATTCGGTCATAATCAATTCGAAAATTTGTTGCCATTATTATAAACTTTTAATAAAAAATTACTATAAAAAATAATAATTTATTGATATGAATTAATTAATTATATATTAATTCGTATCACAATAAATTAAATATACAAGTTTCATTAAATATCATGTGAACTCAACACGTTTTCAAATCATTTCACCATTTCGGAATATAACTACTTTTCTTCACTTCACCGTCCAATTAAATACGAACTAAGTAGCGATCTATCTTTTAACGCAGACTGGAACGAGCTGTTCACCACAAAATGTTTCGCGTGTGGATTCCCAGTCGAGGCTGGCGATCGTTGGGTGGAGGCCCTGAATAATAACTACCACAGCCAATGCTTCAACTGCACGGTCAGTTTTAATTTACAAGAAACATAATTTTCTAAGATATTAAGTTTTATTTCACTTTATATTCGTTCATTTTTCTCAATATTTTGTAATCTTTTTTAATGCATCGAAGCCTACAGTTTCATAAACCAATATTTCTACAACTGAAACTAAAATTCTCTTTTGTTAACAAATTAGATGTGCAAAAAGAATCTCGAGGGCCAAAGCTTCTATGCAAAAGGCGGTCGTCCGTTCTGCAAAAATCATGCACGTTAAGACCATCCGCTCTCAACCATCGCAGATGATCGATGGGACGACGAGAGAGGAAAAGCACGGAAGAACAAGAGAATGAAAAGGAAGTCCAAACAAATGTGAGAAGCGCGCGAGTACAATGTTATAACGCACGTATTGCTTTATCGTGATTATTTTTTCTGTGTCTTCGAACGAGATCACTTCACTAACCCTTTGTCAGATCCGCGAGTGATCCTTTATAGTTACGAAAATACAGGGTCAATTAGGGTGATTCTGACAAAAAATATCTTTACCGTTCAATCTGATAATAAATTGTAATGTCTTTAAGAATGATAGTTATTTATATATGTAGAATAGATATCGTATATAAAAATAATATAAAAAAATAAAATCAAAATGATAAAGATCAAATCTATTAAGTGGCGATTTTTAATGATATTAAATATCATTACATATGTATTTTCCAGTATCACCGATCACCCTGATTAATTCTACGCAATGCACATTTTCACGAAGTATTCAGCGCGCGTTGTTCGGCTACGAGTTATTAATTAATATTTATTATCTAGCTTAATTAAGAGAGAATGATGCAAGAGGCCACCGGTTATCTCAACTCTAAAAAGCGCAATAGAAATCTTTGTATCAAATTTATGAACTTTATTAATTTATAAATTTCTCATTAATAAATAAATATTTAAAAAAGATATTTTTTTAATCCAATATTTAAAAAAAAAAATATTCGTTTTATTATAACTCTATACGCGCAAAATTGCGCTCAGAATTTTCTCGTGCTCTTTAGAATTGAATGGTCTTGTGTTTGTCAAGACGGATCTTAATTTCGACGATTCCGTTTACGAATATTTGATCACCATCGTATTAAATATGAGTTGCGATGTCGACGTCGACGTCGACCGCGAGCGAGCAGCACGTTAATTACGTCGGGGACATTTGATAACGTATCCTTGCACTTTGCGGTTTCTGTTTAATAAAGAAGGGGGTCTTTAATCGCGATCTTTGCGGGCTAGCGAAATATCTCATAAAATCGTCTACGGCAGGAAACATGGAAACGACACAACACACAATGAACGCCCCGATCACTGATCATGCAAAGGTCACTCCAGCAATTAGTATTACGTGGACTATCGCATAAACTTTCAAGGTGCATCGAGATGCAGCGAGTGAACCGATGTCTCGGGTGGCATCGGCGTTCCTTTTCTCGGCGATAGGCAACAGTGTGAGTTATGAGAGAAAGAGAAAGAGTGCGATGGAGAGAGAATAGATGAATGATCATGAAAGTCAGATTGGAAAAAGGTATGAGTGGCGAATAAATGCGTTGAATGTGTGAAAAGAGAGAATGGGTGTAATTTCCGGACAACTAAAATTACGTGTGATTGCAAATCTACCAAGCTTTGAAACACAGGCAACTCAATTATCATTAATCTTACACCGTGTGATTAAAACGTCAAGTAATTTCGTTTCGTTAATATACTCGCACTTGATATTTTCGAAGATTTAGTCCTTCTATTGACAAAGTTTATCATCATTATTTTCACAGAACAATTCAATGAATATAAATTTTATTTGAAACATATTCTATAAGATATAATTAAGCCTAATAATATTATTATTTCCGCGAGAGTAGAAGGATTATAATTTAATCTTGCTTCAGAAACGTCAGAACAATATTTAACTAATTAAAATTTGCCCCCTGAATGCTGAGCAAATGCTAAAAAAATTCCAGGCTCAAAAATATGCTAGTCAAACACTCAAAATTCTACTCTTAAAAATTCACGTTAGAAATATTATTCATATTAATAGTGATAAATTGTTCTTAATTTATAGACGAAAAAAATGTGCACGAAAGAGAAGTAGCGAGTAATATCTATTAATTTATGAGAACCGCCCCGGCATTCTGTGCACGTAAATTGTTAACGAGCATTTGCCGGAAATACTTAATAGCTTTACTAAATCGACGTCGAGCAGACATATATTCTTAGTGCATGCAAACTTCACCGTAAGTCATCCGCGAGTCCGTCGTACCCTGGAATCGGCCGATTAAAGCAGAGACTGATAACAGGTTCAACATGCATTTGGGCTTACATTTAATCAGCCAATCGATCTTTTAGTTGGAAAAACGAAAAGCTGAAATTCGCACGGTAGAAACGACCTGTGCCGTGCTCTTGCACACTCTGATTCTTAACTCTTTAAACTAACTGCTATGATTTTTGCATCAATCTTTTACTTAAAAGAAAAATCTCTAAAATTGCTATTAAAATTTTCAAAAATAATTTTAAGTTTATAATTTCTAGAAACATCTGATTTTAAACCCTAAAATGTTTTTTTTAAGTTTTTTTAAATTTTTAGAACTTCAGATTCTTAGGTTTTTAATTTCTCTGAGAAAATGATAATTCTTGAATTTCTAGTTATAATTCGACACTGATGTTATCTAAGGAATTCTACTTTTTACTTTAACACGTTTTCTCTTCAAAATACAAGGATTCACAAAGGATAAAATATGATCAATCTTGATTCTATTTTATAAAATAAGAGACTCGAATAAGTCAAAAACGATTACTTTATTTTTGGATAAGGTTCTCGAATTTTTGTGCCATCTGCGTGAGCTTCTGTCATTGCGTAGTCGTTATTTTTTTTTTTTTTGTTGAATGAGAGAAAAAAAGAGAGCAAGGAAGAAAGTATACATGTATGTGTACGAGAGGATAAAACTTGTCTACTTGTGGAAGATAATATATAATCGTGTAATTATATAGCGCGTAAATAATTTGAGTTGCGTTCGTGACGATTTCATAAAAAGGAAAAGTGCGCTGTGCAAAGAATTTTACCTGCGTAAACTTTCGAGTACTTGCAAATACTTCGACGACGAACAATCAACCGATTATTACTGTTCGATCATTAGCAATTCTACAACAGCGCGGACCATGAAAATTTAACTCGGTCAACTACAGGTCGAGCATCGCATAAGCCTCTGTATGCGTGTTATGTGTTGCTTATAAAGTAAAATAAAATATTCACTCAAAAGTTTTAGCATTCTTGTTCTACATCCTCCCCAATTTCTTGCCAACAAATGTTTAGAAACCGACTGATTATAAACTTACTCAATGTATAAATTAGTAGAACTTTAAAAACAGTTTACGCGTTCGTAACTCAAAACTTTATAGCTTTGCACATCTGTGTCTTCGACTCTGAATATAATGTCAAATATACCAGTGCCCAATTACTTCGTTGCACGGATGCTCGTAGCTAAAAAAGTATACGGCGAGGAATTTAATTTAACGCGAGACATTTGACATTTGTGTATGACATCAAGTTGTGATGTCAGTTATATTCGTGCTTTCGAACTTTTATCAATTTTCTTATGCCTGAAATATACGTTCAGTCTTTTCATCTTTGCGTATAAGACTACCTAATCTGCAGTCGTGTTCTTCGCGTATCTATCGTTCGCCAGTAAATCCTGATTAAATGATGCATATCGTCTTGCAGTAATAAAAACGTTTATTCAGATAATTAAGCATTGTAATTTGATATAATTACTACAGTTTGAACATTTTTTCGCGAATGCTAATTATTCTCCGACATATATTATCGCGTGACATCTGGAGAATACAAGTATTTTTCTCTTCGTCCTTGTAAATATCAATTATAATTATCTCTATTAAAAATCGCGTCGTATAAAAGAATTTTTAGAAGCACGCAGTTATTAAAGTAAGCAATCATTTCACGTTCAAACTTGAAACTATTTTTAGAATATTCGTACAATTGTTGAAAGCAGAGATAAATTAGCATATAAATTCTTTAAAATACAAAAATTAATTTTAAATAATTAACAAGTATTTCCGAAAAAAAATATATTTTACTTTTTAAAAATATAATTAGGTATATTATAAATCTTAATTTGATTGCATTATGTTAGTTTTGCTAAACTTTAGAACTACAAATCAGAAGTTCAATAGTTTAGAAAAATCGATCAATATGTATACAGAATATTTTATTATCTTGTACAAGTAATATTACTGCAAATTTTAATAAGAAAATTGAGCTACATTACTTTAATATCATTATATTTCAATTCTAAAAGTCTAAAACTTCATTAGCAATTACATAGAGCCTGGCTGGCAGAGAAGAACGACAGTGTGCGTCGCGTGCTTCTAATAACCTTCCATAAATTCGCATTATCTAAAGTCTTTCGGATCATTTCACAATAAGTTGCTCCTGACCGTCTATTATTCAACACTCTCTTCCGACGTCCTTGCCGACCTTTGCGGCACTCGCGGCGGAAAGCGCATAAAAGCTGCAAGCGGCCCACAGGTAACCTGCGCACCTGCGGACAGCCAAACGCGATTGCGTAGACCGGAATGTAACCGCGCACCAGTGAGAACCGAGATTCCGCTTTGTCTACACCCGCTATCTCAACGAGAAACTTCGTGAAGAAAAAGCTTCGATGTATCGAAACCGCGGACGACTGTCGATTCGCCGAATCGAAATGACAGCACAAGTGACAACGAGTTTATATCTGCCAATTTTTACGACTGTGTAAGTTTTCTATAAATTTCTAAGTAAGAGTATAGTTCAGAAGAACGCGATATGTTAATTACATTCGTGAACTAATTATTACCATCATTATTTTAATATCAACAATTAATAAGTTATAATCTCAAATATTTTTATATTTTGTTAAATTCAAAATTATTTGTATGAATTGATAACGTAATACTATATTTACATATTTGCAGATAACTTTGGGGATTCGGATTATTGACAGATGTATATTATCTGCAAAGGTAAGATCGTGCTTTAATTTTAATTTAATTTATTTGCTTTCTCTTGCACCAAAGAAAATTTTCTCGAATCGAAATGAAAGGCACGATACACGTGGCGTAGTCCGCGATTTACGCGCGCTTTAGTTTTAAAATGTCCCTGACATTGGATTATCGGGTATATTCGCATGACGAGCGTTAACATGCAGGCGTCGCTAACATATTGATAGTCACATCATACGAAGCATCATATGAAGCACGTAATTAATATCAATAAATTATGTCACGCTTAATTTTTAACTTATATCATTTGTCATTTTAAATATAAGATGATAAAAGTTGTAAGCTTAAAGCTCGTTGTTGCACTTTTTATTATAAGAAACTTGAATCTACATCGACAAAATTTCTATATTTATTTATTTTGCGTTGTTTATTAGAAAAATATAATATTATATTAAACATAAAAAATTTAATTTATTTGTAATAAAGAAAATTGTTATTTAATTTTATAAATATCTACTTTGTGCTTTACAGTGGAAGAAATCTGTATTCTTTCACCTTTTAATATGGGAGCAATAATTTGATTTACCAATAGAAGACTCGATAGCGATCATAGCAAGACAATATAAAATTAAGTAAGTAACCAGTTTATTATAACGCATTTGCTAATACAAAATATATTTAATTAATTTAATTTTCTACTTTCAGAGTATATGTGTCATTTATATATTTCTGGAATGTAACATAATATCGATATAACTGAAGCAAATAATGCTACAATTTTCATACATCAAGAAAGTATGATTCGGTATGGCAGTAAAATGCATGGAAGGCCCTTTTGTGTTCAGATTAAATGAAAACGGCACTGGACCACATTTACTTGTACAGGTACAGTTAAATAAGACGAAATTTTATTTCCTATTTAGATAAAAGAATCATCGATATAATTCTCGATAAGACACGATCGAAAGTATAGACTAGTTTGAATCATAAATTTCTATATTATTCCTTCGTTTTCGCACAAACGCCAAAACGTCCGCACGTGTTGTCGCGCGATGCATCGCGAACGATCGATTCGATTCGACGCGAAAGGTCGTCGGCTCCGAAGAAAAACGTAATGTATACACCCGATAGATGAGTCGGAGCGATCCTCTCTTCAGTTTTTGCGCCCTTAGAATTTATTCGCGGTACGGTTACAAACTTAGATTTACTGTCCTTGAACTAAATACTTTTCAAGGTACACCATACGTATACATGCACACCTGCAACGTGCCTCTGCGTGCACTTGCTGCTTTTAGACGCGACGATTAGGTAAGTGTGACATGCAACGGTAAAAAAGGCTGAAGTCATTACCATTAGACTTATTGTTAGTTAGATTTCGCAAAAGTCTTCAGCGCGAGATTTGCAACTGACGTACTATTGTACTTCTAATTATAAAAAATGATTAAGAATTTCACAGAGTACTATATATAAACTGCCCTAAAATCTCTGAATTTTTATAACAGATTTTTTAACAATTTTGAAACAAATTTTTCTTTCTTAATCAATATTTCAAAAGGCCATCATTAAATAGATTGCTTAAATGTTCCTCTACTTTTTTTATTCTCTTTTGTATTATCTTTTGTATTATCTTTTTCAATCCATATCACACATATATTTGAATAAATCGCTACGTCTGAATATAAAGTTCACATGAGAACGTAATGCCAACAATGTGAAATTGTTTTGACAGATTTCATTTAGTAAGCCAATTGTTCATTTCCTTTTAATTATTAACCGTAAGAGTTGGGCAAAATAGAGCAGAAAAAATTGGGTTATCCGTGAAAGGACGACGAAAAAATGGAACATTGCCAGTGACAGTAGATATATAATTCGCGAGTCATTCGGGGTTTGCATAAATGTATCTAAAATAAGCTCGTCGAAAGCTACGAAAGCAGCTCAATCGTTTCATACAATAATGTGCGATTAATCAAAATTAAGTAATGACATATCTGTATCAAATGCTATGGAATTTAAGTATCCTTTGCATGCTGCCGGAAAATCTACATAAATATCGTGTCTGAAGAATTATCTTTGTCTTCAAAGTTGATTCAAAAACGACAATTAAATAAATTCTTTCGAAATACACGAAATGCAAATAATCATTGTCGTATTAATTAAAATACTTCGTTATTTCTAAACCATCTTAGAATCATATTCAAAAAAGACAGGAATGATGTGTTACAATAGAAAATTCATAACAAGCTTATACGTACATAATCTCTGGCTTTGAAAAATATGGATTTAAGACAATTCAGAAACAAGCTCTTCAATTAAAGCGGTATGTCGTGCACGTGGATTTAATTGTAATCAGAGACCTTGGCTCGTTTCTGATATCGCGAGTCATTCCTAATGTTCTAATAACACGATAATAAATCAAGGGCGGCCGTCGTTATTTTCGTACCTTATCCTCGAAAGTTTCACAGAACTTCGAAATGCGTAGTGCCATATTTGGAATTAATGAATCTACTTTGGGTTGCCAAACTGAAAGTGGTTCCGGTTTGTAAATTGGATTAATTAAAGGATGTAACGCATATATATGTGCACACATGTGTAGATTAAATCAGCATCGATGTATGATATTTTGGTGATGTAGCGCATATATCGCGAAGTACTAAAATAAGTCGAATACACTTCGAATTTATCTGTAAGAATATTTATATTCAAGAATCGATAGTATCGATAAAACTGCTACTATATATATTATATTATGAAGAGATAAATATTATACATTACTTATTCCAAGATTTTAAATATCCCGTTTACTCCATTAAAAAAAAATAATAAGTACATTCCACTAAAACATTTCGTCATTTTCGATATTTGTCATTTCATCGCGAGATTCTGTAACACCTTCGAGCTCATTATGTTATGCTGCTGCGAATAATGCAAAAAAGATTCGCTTTTGTTGCCATTTGGCAAAGAGGAAGAATACTCGAACACTCACGCGTATCGACATTTGAGACCCGGTTAAAAATAGTTTCTAGCCCTCGGAATAACCGCCGAGGTAATATCAGCCGCCCTTTCGCTATCGTGGATGCTTTCGACTGCAGGTTTGCACGGAACGGGGATGGCGGGAATACGCCGGCGAAAATAATGTATTCAAAGACCGATGGAATTTATGGTGGCGATCTGGTGGTTTCCCCACATCGCATTATAGGCCATTACTCCCCTGGCAGGTAATAACGCAATATCTCCTCATGGTTTTCGATTCATACGAAACGTAAACAAAAAGCATACAAAACTTTCTTCAAATATTTTTCAAATTTACATTGTAACACATAAATTTTCTGATTCTAATTTGCTTGTCTATTTTTTTTACTTTAATTAACTTTATAATTAATTATTTATTAAATCAACTTAGAAAAGTGGTTGTAATAAATAGCGGTCTCAAATAACATGACTTTTCGAACAGTTCGTCAATCGGATACCAAAGGGAAATTCTATCTGTCGAAAGGATAAGCTAATCCGTCATTTAAAACGCATGAAAAAAGTCCACGGTCCGATTTACGACTTCAGGTATTTCATATAATAAATTATATTTTTAATTACGCTCATCATTTTGCATTAATGCAAAAATTTCTGTTGCTTATTTTATATTGTATAAAATATAATTTAGACTACACAGTGTTTAATGCAAAGTCATGCCTGCCTGCTGATGATATTAATTTGTTGCATTAGTCCCACAGGATATAACTTGCCTTCTGAATACACGAAATTGGCCGAAGAATGCAGTCGTAATGAAAAAGATGATAAAGTTTGGATCTGCAAGCCAGTTGGTCAAAGTCAAGGAAGAGGAATCTTTTTATTTCGCGTAAGGATTTTAAGAATATATTCGTGTAATTAAAAAACCCGGTACCTTGAATTCATGAATTTTTATCAAGATAATATTAAATAATTAAATAAAATGACCAATTTTTAGAGAAATAAAAAAAAGTAGGAAAATAGAAAAAGTTCAACTTTCATCTATTCATAATTTAAAATCATGATATACTTAGATAAAATACGTAATGTTAAATATTTAATTATATTATTTAATTATGACGAAAGTAATATCGATCGATTAAAATATAGCATATATTATGCAACATGCTTATATATAATTTTCTATACTTTCATATTAGGAAATATGATCCCTTGCATATTAATACAAAAAGCACAAAAATTTGATATTATTGTATCTTTTCAGAAATTAAGTGATCTATCATATGACAATGCCGCGGTCGTGCAAAGATATATTGAAAATCCTCTGTTGATCGGCGGATACAAATTCGATCTTCGCCTGTATGTATGCGTACCGTCTTATCGCCCGTTAACGATTTACCTATACAAGGAAGGTCTAGCTCGTTTTGCCACCGAAAAGTTTTCTCTGGAGCGATTAGACGATCCTTTTCGACATCTCACAAATTTCTCCTTAAACAAATTGGGACCAGGCTACTCGGAGAAAAAGGAACGCATCGGTGCCGGTATCTATTAGCACAATCTTTTCATGTTTTACCTAAATCGTAATGTATTAGCATATTATAAGTATATGTATATTGTGTACAGAAATAATTATATTTCAAAAATTTTTTTATTTAATGAGTTGACTTTATAACTTATAATATTGAATTTTGTAAATGCATTCATATATTGTTTAATCAATATTCTATTTTTTTTTTAAATTAAAGTAGTGCAAAATATTTTTATCTTTGTATAGGCTGCAAATGGACATTTAGGCAATTAAGAAGATACTTTGAGCAATCAGGATATTTCGACTGGATTCTTTGGCAGAGAATCTCGTGTTTAGTGACTTTAACAATTCTAAGTCAAGCGGCAGGCATTCCTAAATCATCAAACTGTTTCGAATTTTTTGGCTTTGATGTGTTAATCGATGAAAATTTGAAACCGTGGCTTTTAGAGGTCGATAGAGTGATATAAAATAATTACACTAACACCTAAATCGACAATCGTAATGAGATATAATTCATTATATTATAGGTAAACTTAAGTCCGGCTTTGAGTAATGACTGCGAGGTTGATTCAGAAGTAAAAAAGCCCCTACTGCACGATCTGTTTGATTTATTGGGTCTTCCAGTATGCAATACCGGACTCTCTCTGTTCACTATCTGGTCCTCCTCTAATCGCATCGAGGAAGATGACAGCGAGGTGTCTTCCAAATTTGGCCGATCCATGAAAAAAAAATCAAAACTAGGACGAGAACCTGATGCTTTTCTAAATCTCTCCCCGGAAACGCGAGTTACGGTAAAATCAATCTAGAAATATCCTAAATTTCAATAACGGAGGATTAATGTGTTTATAAGAGTGTTTATTCATATCCACTCTTAAAAAAGCATGAAAGATCGATACTCGAATGTATCGGAATTATTATTATAATAATAATTATTATTCTGATAGTTTGATAGATTGAGAGCGATGGTTATTTTGACGGTTATTTAAAATAAAAAAATTTATTAAAATATTTAGATTTCTTAATTATTAAATTACTATAATAAGTGCGCGCGCTACGCGCGCGCCTGTATTGTTCTAGTAAAATAAAATCTAATATTTTGTATTCTAATTTTTTTTCCAGCTGAGACAATCAATACCAGAAGTTTGTTCAACTACTTGGTCTCGTTACAACCCGCTGTTTATGGATAAATGCATACGTCGGGGATATAAGGGAAACACGATCGAGGATCACGTGTCACCACCAATTTGGGACAACGGCAGAGATTGGAGAGTGTCTTGCGTAAGGGAAGGTGGATGGATTCGCATTTGTCCGTTTACTCGAGCGAAACATATCGAAAATATGGAATATACAAGACCATCGCCTAGGACTGTTGAGAACGAGATCAAGGACATGGTCCTTTCTATACAAAAGTAATTTTAGTTTGTTAGAATATTTCATTATTTTGTTTTCATATATAAACGGTCGTAAATTTATCACATGTGCCATATTTCAGTTAAAAATTTTTTAATATGTTTGTAGTTTTTCTTAGCAAAATTTTCAACATAAAATATAGCAGCAAATAAGTATCAATTAAAAATTGATGTATCAAATTAATGATGTCCAATTCACATAACAATATTTTTATAGGTATTTAAAAGCCGCAAAAGAAGTGCAACAAAGGAACGAAAAACTCAAAGACGAAGAATGCAATGCTCTTCTACAAAATGCGCTTGAAATGAATACGGAAATTTGGCTGCCAGAAAAATAAAAACCTAGTCTGCATTTTTTGCTCCCATAAACAAAATCTTTAAATCTACTTATTCTCTACACTTGTTTTTCGTATAGTATTATTTTAAAAATTACTTTGTACAATTACATATAATGCACATTATAATAAACGTGCATCTTTATTCTATCAATCTTTGCAATGCAACATATATCGCATATAATGATTGTAAAATAGTCAATTGTAACATTTTATGCAACAAGCAATTAGATTCGTTAATACTCACATTTAGCATTAAATGTAGCCATCCCTTGCTCAACTCGCAGATAAATTATTTTATTACGAAACTATTGCATTAATTCAATACTGATATAAAGATATAGATAGTAAAAATAAGGATAGTTAAGATAAAAAATGGTTTAACAGCAAATAAACTTTTTTAGCCTAATTAATATCAAGAAACAAAAAATTTCTTTTTACCAATAAAATATTATTGGATTTCATGTCGTTTTACTTTGTTATAAGCTGAATTATCACTAAATATAAATAAAAATAGACTGCTCAAATTTAAAATAAAATAGTACTATTATTATTGTTATTAGAACTATTTCATTATGCATAATTTTGTCACATTAGATGTTTTACGTAAATCATAAGTTATTAGCATGCTATGTGTAAAATATTATGTATATGTTGTGCATAAAAATGTAATTATAATATTTTGTAAAGTTTTTTGCTTGATAATTTTACTTACACACAAAGGTAAATTTAAAAAATATATTTTAAATATCTCTAATTATTATTATAATTAGATGACCATATTTAACACTAAATGAAAAACATATAAGTAACTTTCAGCCAATAATAATAAATTAAATTGACTCACCAAACTGCAACACCACTTCCTACAGTCGTTCTTTCAATTTTCAATTTTTAGATGAACTTTTAACTTTTTCCTGGTGGCAGGAAAGTGGTTTCCAACACTTTCAACTTTTTCCTGATTTGTCAAGAGCACATTTACAATGGATTAATTTCTTGCAGAAATGCGACAACCTACAATAAGATAAATACAAATTATTGTTATGTTACTGATAATATTTAGCGTTAAATATGAATGTATATATAATCTTTAATCAACAAAATTATAAAACTATGTTAACTATATTAACCTATACTAATATTGAAATACTGCATCAGTTTTTGTATAATTTTCTCTTTCTCTTTGATGTAGCCAAATCGAGAAGTTTATTTGTGTCTTAAAGACATAAATCTTGTAAGCAAAAATAGTAATATGTGAGTTAAACTTCTGATAGTGAATGTACTTTCAACTTCTCTCTTGGTGAATTTTTTCTATTCAAAGTTCACACATTCGAAACGCATTCAGTATTTCAATAATCATATTATTCGACTATTATACCATTAAATAATAATCAGTGCACGATTATGAAAAATAAATTTACTCACCGGACCGTATCTTTCGTTGCTGCAGTCCGTGGAACGACTCGTGTGAACCCCGATTTTTGATCTACTTCACCCGCTTCATATTCCCGGTAAGAAAGCTCAGTGATGTACGATTACAAACGTAAACAAACGCAATGCGATGAGAGTTCAAAATTTTCCTCGTTAATCTCGACATGAATTAACGCACACGATCTATTTTGAATAATTAAAATTTACGAAAAACGCATCCGCAATTTCGCACTGATCCACATTCACCGCGACTCCAAATGGACAAGGATCGAGCAAGTGTGCCACCGTACAAAAGAAACTAACACTGAGCATGCGTGCCACACATAGAAACAAATTCTGAGAAGCATGCGCGTTCTGTAAAATATTGCAGACATCGCGTTGTGAATCTGCATAATAAACTAATCTATGCCAAGTGTACCGCCAATGTAGCTGTATCCTGCTAATATAGATTTTTAATACAAATGCATTTATATATTGATATAAATATTATGCCAGTATTGTAGTACAAATATATAAAATTTGTATTATTCTAATACGCATTAATAAAAAAAAATAGCGATAATTTTGCGACATTGCATCACTAATTAAAAACTACTTTTTTAAACAAGTAACAAATTATTATAACAAATTAATCATAAGCTGGAAGGAATTAGCTGGAAGCTGGAAGCTGGAATTAAATATACGAGTGAATAGGCGAATAAACAGTAAAATATTACTAAAAATTGCCAAGAAGACCTTGGTTTATTGAATGTTTTGTTATTTTGTTGAAAATTTTTATTATTAATTCATTCCTTTGGCTGCTAATCTCTTGTCACGTTCCTCGGCAATCGTGAGTTTTACACCCTTATCTCTGGGCAAACTCACGTATGCCTTCGTGCCCTTGCCGATGATGAAGACGTTGTTCAACCTAGGTAAATGGTTTATATTACGAAAATAATGTAGATTAAACAATTGTTACGAAATATTAATTGTAAAGTGTTGTTTCCTTCTTGAATAATATAGAAAATATACTGCAACAATAATCAATGACTAATGTGAAGACACTCAAAGTATTGGTCACTTATTAAATAACATGTAATATTCACATATCATGATCTAGAAGATTCTGTACATTTCAAAAATCAAATAAAACTTTTAAATGCTTGTAAAAGCATAAAATAATTTGTAATATCTCAAAACAAAATTAAGGCAAAATATATGTTAAATCTAAACCTAAACCATTTTATCATCAATATACTTTTCATAAAAAAATAAATTAAAACATTAACAAGTATTAAAAATTATGTAAAATAAAACTAAAAAAACTATAAGTTTTACTCTCGCGTACCTTGTGGCGAAGGTATGACCCTGGGCATCCTTTATATGACAGATATCAAAAGAACCAGGGTGACGTTCACGACTGACAACAGTCCCAACTCGACCCAAATTCCTTCCACCAGTAATCATGCAGAGATTACCTAGAAAGCGAAAAAAATATATTTAAGATCTTTATTTTCTAATATATATTCTCATTAATAATATATATATTGCATGAAATTCTTTTAATATTATTATTACTTTATTTTAATACCATTATTCTATTTTAATAATTATTATTTTAATGTATTGAGAAAAATTGAAAGATAAGTAGATGAATAATTACCGGAGTCAAATCTGATAGAATCCAAAATCTTGCCACTGGCAATATCCAAATGAATAGTGTCATTGACTTTTATAACAGGGTCAGGATATCGAATTGTTCTACCGTCGTGCGTAACTAAAAACGGTATTCCTTTGGGACCAGTCTGAACTCGCTTTACCTTGCACAATTTGTACTAAAATACAATATCATACATAGATGAGACACAATACTCATATTCAATAAGAGAGCAATATAAAATATCATATGCAATTACTTTGGCTTCTTCAGCGGTAATGCGGTGGGTGGTGAAACGTCCCTTAACGTCATAAATCAATCGGAAAAATTCACCGGTCTTCTCAATTGTAATAACATCTAAAAAAATTTAATTATAATATTATTAATTAATATTTATCCACATTTGTTCATTTCACTGTTATATGTTTTTGTAATCTTCTTGGGTAATACAGAAAGAATATGTAACTCAATCTGTGACCATAATAAAGATGTTTTACTATTGGCTACTTTTTGACTGCAATACTTAAGTAATTAAGAATATCACAGCTTCGATATAGCCTATTTTAATCACATTTCTCAAAAGATAAAATATAATATACACAAAATAGCAAATACACTTACCCATGAAACCAGCAGGATAATTAGGGTCAGTGCGAATCTTTCCATCAACCTTAATCAAGCGCTGCATCACAATTTTAGTAACTTCACAATTAGTCAAAGCATACTTCAATCTATTACGAAGAAAGATAACCAAAGGAAGTGATTCTCTGAGTTTATGTGGACCAGTGGATGGCCGGGGGGCATACACACCCCCGAGTTTGTCCAACATCCATGCTTTAGGTGCATTGAGACGCTTGAGATGCTTCTTTGGACCACGAGCCTAAAAGAGAAACATTTTATGAAGTTAAAATAAAATTAAGATAACATACATTCTTTGCAAATTTTAGGTTATATCCCAATTTAGGTTAGGTAATATTCGATTCAATCATTACTTAAATGAATTATGTTAATTATAATTCAAGCAAATTACAACTCTTGTACATCATAGAAGAATAATCCCAAAGTAATCGTAAAACAATAAATAATATTTGTAAAAGTCAAAAAAACGTTGAAATAAAACAAAGCAAAGCGATGTAGCAAAATAACACTATTGTTTCTCTAGCAATAAGACATACGATACATTTGATAAACACATCTTTGATCACAAAAAAATGTGCACTACCTATTTTTCGCGTGTATCGAAGAAATTTACTTCATATACGTGAGATGTAAGCGGATTTCATGACCGCAGCAACTTACCATGTTGGATTTCTAAACGGAAAAGGCACGAGGATCCACGTCGCGTACTCACATTAGGAAATATCTTCAACTGTAGTCGATAACTAACCTAAAACTACATGAGGTAATAGATAGGTAACCGAACATACAAATCCAAACCCAAGTTACTAGAAAAGCGAGAGTCTGATTGGTTGTCATTTTAAACACCGCCAAACTTCACATCGATGCAAGGAGGACTTTATGGCAAGTGGTAAGTATGCGCAGAAGAAATTTTGTGACGTAATTTGTATCGTAAATTTTGAATATATTTGGAAAATATATTATAAAATCTACTTAATTTCAAAAATATATTAATTTAAAGTATGCGTTATATAATAAATATAAGAGAGATTACATTAGGCTGATATATATACTTCATTAATACAAATAATAGGTTAATAGACAAACTAATTTGGCCAAATTAAAGTTGCAAAGTAAAATTAACAATAAATAAATGAATGTATATGCAATCGCAAGTTTCAGCGCGTCGATAAAAGAGTGACCACATCGGACGATCGGCCCAGATCGGTGGCTCTCTCGGTGGCTCAGGTCGATCTCCTTTAAACGCGCAAATGCAACAATATGGCGGATCGCGCTCCGGCGCCGGCACCGCTGTATATTTCGCAGTGACTTGCTTCGGCATTCGAAGTTGTTGAGGTCACGAAACTACGTGCGTAACGCAGGTACACACATAAGTGCATATACATACGTGCTCGCGCGTTGTTGATCTCTTTTTCTATCGAAAATAATTGTGTATTATTACTACGGATTTTCACGTTCCTGTGAAGCATCTACGACGCTCCTCATCGTAGCTGTTGCCGTCGTTCTCATCGTCAAATTCTTATCGATCAGCTATCCGTGCCAGCAGCGATGTGCTTCCGTAGATGATGGAGTTGACGGAAACCAGCGACCTTCTTGCCGACCAAGTTATGTCCTCGCGTCATAATCGTTGCTGAGTAAGAGGAAGAATCTGTGTGTTGCTTGTCTAGAAGAGGACCAGCGACAACGCTTCGTGTCAGTCTGTCCAGTTTTGTGATAAGGTAAGTGTTGACTTAGAAAACATTACACGCTAACAAAAATATTGTAACCGTTGAACAAATGTAAATAAATTAGTATTGCATTGTATTAGTATAAATAAATTAGTAGGTTGTTTTGGGACACTATTAATAAAATGAAAAACGATTATAACAAAAAATGCTCAAATCACAGTCACAATATTTTTGACGTCATTCCTTCATCATTTTTTAATTATGCATTATGCATTTTTATATTTAAAATGAAATGAAATAGAAGGTATCTGGGATGCATACAGGATGTATTTTTATTTTATTTTACTATTCCACGACCATAAGATATTTTTTTAATAAAAAAATGTCTTTTTATGGCCGTAACGATCTTTTCTTAGCTATAAGGTTAGCTGGTTATTGTTTATCTCATTTTGCCAATTTGTAATGGGATATTTTTAACGTATCGTACGTAATCGTACAATCAGCTTCAAATTATATTTCTCTTACTGTCCAATTATTAATTATTTGAAAGTATTTATTAACATTATAAAATAATGTAGGCTATATTAATTAAAACGTATCTACTTTGATTATTATTAGAAGTGCAATAATTAAACAACAAGGGAACATTATGGTCGGTAATAAATGAAGGAGAGGAAACGATTATTCTGAGAAATAAACGCGGAATAAATCTTTGTTACAATAATTCCTTTGATGTACTTATATAAATTAACGGACAATATATACTAAATACGGAATAGAATGCAATGTTATTGCGTCGAAGTTTCGAGATCGATTGCATATAGCATTTTAGTGCACATAGAATGTCAAAGACCGCATAGGCGATGCAATTAAGTGTCGCCCGTGTAGTCAGGAATTTCCGCGCCGCGTATGCTTTTCCGGAGATATCTCGTCGCGCACAGTTCGCTCCGCGATGTGAAATCGATCCGATCTGGATTACATCTTCGACCTGGATGCAGTATTTCTCCAGTAGTTCGCGGCATTCCTTTCACTTCGCTGACAAACGACTACGCGCCGACGATTGACAATTCGCAAATTATTGCGACTTTTTGCGGATTTATTTTTCTATTTTTTTTTTGTGCAAGAAAATTCTTGTTTTAACTTTCCCGACTTTCTCAACTATACCTCAAGAGTTTTTGAGCAAAATCAATGTAATGAATAAAGTTTTAACGATATAGAGATTTGTGTTCCGCATCTTGATTACTATAATATTTTCAAATTTCGCAGATAATTATCAATAATTTATTTATCAGTTATATTATTATTTTATCAACAATTATTTGAGAAAGTAAAAATTATCGTATTCATTAATTATAATTTATGCAATTTCCACGCTTCTTTCACGAATAGTTACGAACATTAATTATGTATGGAAAATAATCGGATGTCTGAAATGTTCATGCGATAATTGTTAATGAATGTCGATTAATCTCACGTTCGAGATGTATTCCTCATTATCTTGCATCGCGGAGCGTTATATGCAATCGATACATGCATGTCGTATGAAAAGCGCGCTATCCAAGTGACGGCATGTATATATGCATATATATATGCATGCGCTCGCTAGTTACGTGCATATGCGCAACGCTGCACGCCGGGGTCATTGTCCGTGTTCTATTCCCATCACTAATACATTCGCTGACAAGGAACGGCACAGCGTGCTTCAGGGTGAAACGGGGTTTTTCGCGAATGTGACACGCGAGATAAAAGTTTGTAGAAAACCTTTCTGCAAACTTTTAAGCGCTCATATATTTTGGCTTCCCTTTTTATCTGCTATTTTATTTTATTATCTTGCTAATTGAAATGACAATATACTGCTTTTAAAACTGCGAATAAAATTCTAAAAATAATAAAAAATATTGCTTATCTTGTTAGAGCTGGGAAATTGTATTTTTGTGAATGATAAATATTAGTCATTTTTTACATGAAAGAAATACAGCGATGGATGTTGCTAAATTTTGCTATTATCTAAATATTAGTAATATTATATATAATGATTAATATTATAATATAGATTATTATTGATATTTTTATCATGTATAATTAAAATATTTAATCACGTGTTGTTTATTTTTAGGTAATTTTCCTATCAAACAATGTCTTCAATCTATAATAAAGACATTGTTTCTTCCTTTGATAGGAAAATTTCCCAAAAATGAGCAACGTTTGATATTTTAGTGATTAATTGTACATGATAATAAATTATCGATCTCTGACTATGTTCTACCTCTCACTACGTTCTTAAAATTGTAAGATGATATTTATGAAATTAGAGAAATAAAGAGAGGAATATAAAAGGCCGGAAAATATCACGCAACGCAAAAGCATTGCTGCGTTGAAACTCAGAATGGTGAGGGGAATGAAGTCACGATTCCATTCATGGGATTCGTTGGCTTTAATGGGGTCTCGAGGACGAAAGGGAGAGCCGGAATCCCTTCCTACGCGAAAGGATCTGAAGTTGAAGGTCACGCATCCCCTCGCGAAAATTACGCAGTTTGAACGCAATCGATATTGGACGTTGTATGGAAGATCACATGTTCAAAATATATATCTTAACTTCAAAACCCTAGTTAGTTATTTGCAGTGAATCACAAGATAAAATGTGACGTACTGTAGCAAATCTTATTTTAGAAACAAATTTTATTAAAGTTTTTAGAAACTTTTACGCTTTAGTATAGAAGAACAATGTGTAATTTTTGAGATACTCTGTCTATACACTTATATAAATTTAATCGCTAAGCCGTGAGAAAGCTGTGGATTGATTAAATGAATAAGTAATTGCATTCATCGATTAATTAAATCATATGTTTCGTCCGAGTAAGAGAGCTATGTTTAGGCGATAAGATATCTAATTCATAAAGAGCTAATTCTCCGATGACATTATTCCTTCTTTAGCTTGTCAAATTGAACTTCATGTATAATTTTAATCGAGCAACAGACATAAAGTGTTCACGAATAATCATTGAAAAATCCACAATCCTAAGAAATCTATTTTCTTGAAATTCTCGTGAAAGTTGTGCGTTATTTGGAAAAAGTGCAGGATAGCACTTTGTTTTTTAAAATACAATGTTTGTTTTCTCGCTCCGAAAATATTTATGCAACGTATCGTAAACATACCTATATTTTAAACACAAAGTTGTGTATATAAAATGCAGATTGGTAAATACAAAGGATAATCTGTTACACGCGAGATATAATTTCGAGCATTAACGTCATATGCATGCTCTCGAAATAGCGACCATCCCCGACGATGATTGCACTCGGCGTGCATTCTGATTCCCGGTTAGTGCATCGGGTAGTTAAGATAGACGTCTCGTCTCGTGCGTCGTGTCCGAGCTATGCCATCGCGGGGATGGCGCGCAGTAAGCATCGTCCCTCCGCCTACTCATCCCGCCGCGTGCTCTTCTCGCTCCCTCAGCGATTGGGGCATGCTTACATTATGCATTTCCATCGGGCGAGCTCGTGTCGCTGTTTACCCACATACGCGCGACGTATAATCGTCAACAAACCCTCGGGCAACCCTCTGCGACCAGTGACCATCCCCCTTCGTCTCACCCTCGCCCACAATCCCTCCTTTAGGCTCGCTTAGATCCTCGATCCCTCTCTCGTTTGCCCTCTCCCTCCCTCGTCTGCCCTCCTCTACCTCGCGATTCACGTGACCGGGACAGTCTATTGATTCCTCGAGGGTAGTGCATGCGCCCTTGCGCACGCGATCTCTGCTGTCAAGGGGGTTTGTACACGGTGGAGGGGACGAGTTTGGAGGAAGTCCCGATGGAGGGGATGCCGGCGACGGGAAAAGCAGAGTGGTCGGGGAATATACGGTGCTGAGAAAGGGACGGAGAAAGAGAAAGAGAGAGAAAGAGACGGGGATAGTGGAAACTGGACGTCGTATTTTAGTCGTTTTTTATATATTTTTATGGTGATGTTATACTTTTATGTGATAGAGTGAAATGAGAGTGACCGCACGGATTGAAACGAAAATCGGGGGGAAATAAATAAATAAATAAGCGTGTGTTGTAAGCAGCTTTACATAAATGTCACATTATTTTGTTAACTATTACGTTACCTTTAGGGCAATTAATTATTTATATAATTGCAAAGAAGCAAAATTTCTCTAATTCTTTAAATCTGAAAATTTTCTCTCGTCAAGTATGACATATAAAATTGTTGCAATTTAATAACAGCATTTTAGAGTCGCTTTTTTGCAAATAAAATATTAATATTCCAAAATAAATATTTATATTCCTTGAAATTAATATTTCTGCTGCTATTTCAATTATTTTAAATGTGGAAATAATTAATCTAATCAGTGAATTATTGTTCTCTGCATTTTTTCAAAAATTATTTCTTTGTGATCGCAGTATTAAAAACCTTCAAATTTTTCTATATATATATATATAACATCTTTATCATTATTTGTAACTGCTATTATCTTAATCTCGTAATTTCTCTGATTTCATGGTCCTAATTTTTTTTTACTTTCCTTTATTGCGTCGATCTGAATTTTATCATTTTTGGCTAATTTTTACTCTACTCTTTCCTAAATTTTTTAACATCCCTAACGAGTTAAGGGAACTCCATCCGGCAATCAACTGCGAATTTGTAGAATCTAGAACGTTCGACCGTTTCATTCGGGATATCGATGCGTATTCCATACGAAATTCGAGAGTTCTCTCGATCCCCATTGCCAGTCGGGGGAGGCAGCGTGCTCGGGCGCTAGTGAGGCGGTCAGGGGTTGCGAGGAGAAGGGTTGCGAGGAGGAGGGTCGCGAGGAGGAGGGTAGTGATGAAGGACGACGGAGAGAGAGAGCTACCGAGAATCGCGGCGGAGACTCAGTCTCATTTGTGTGGCGTCTGTGTCGCGATCAGCTTCTTCCGAAACGGTCGACATGACTTCCCTCATCACGCATATCATCAGGTACAATCAACAACGACACGATACGCGCGTTACATCCGAGTGCATCGCTGTTAAATTGCGTTCTCGATTCGCCGCTTGCTTGTGAAAACATCACT